ACACACACACACACAATCAAGCTGCTACAGTGCCGTGCGGCCCCCTTGGGCAGTTGGAAGTCAGTTTTGTTTTTGTTTGTATTCAAGGATAAAAATGAGTTTTTACAGCAAACCAAGCGTCTTCCATGAGTCATAGCAACAAAACTGCCCCTGGATTGCAGGCTATTAAACACTGCATGTGCCAGTCTGGTCATATCCTGGTTTTGCTGTTTGCAAACAACGTGTTCAGGGTTGGCATTTTTTAGTGCGTAAACACAGGATTTCCCTTTGTGTTGATATCCTGCACGGGAGGGCCCATCTGCTTTATGTAGATTTTCATTAGAAGCGGCTTCATCCTCGTCTTTATCCACTCTCCAGATTAAGAGAGCATTGTGTTTACAAGGCGACTCCCGGAGAACACACACTGCTTTCATGTTGTCCTAATGTGCAAGGTGGAGCTGATGGGATTACTGTTACATTTAGGCAATAGGTCCATTTATCAAAAGACAGGCCGTATCGATCCACCTCATTGCCCCCGGAGTTTGGAAACGCTGCCGCAGCTCAGCAGACATAAGCTCAATGAGGTGTCTACAAGCAATAAATGTCTGCTTTTACAAGATCTGTCTCTACTACAGTGTTTTAATCAGTGTGTTACTGTAGAAAGTCCTCTGCTCTTTCTAATACCGAGACCCACACAGGATTGGAGACCAGGAGTGGCAGTGAATGTTTTAGTCCTTGTAAGTTCAAGTTTGTGCAAAATGGATTAAATATTTCACAACATTGCATTTCAGTTCCTTAAACTCTCCCACCTGCTTGGTCATGCTGGTAGTCAGAAGTTTGTTTCGATTAGCTTCCCTCTGCAGACACACTGTTAAAATGATCAGCCCCCCTGCCTTCCTCTTCTTTAGACATTAATTAATCTTTACACTTGAAGAGAGGCTGCAAAGTACATTCTCAGTTTTTTTTTTTTTCGTTCGTCAGCTAGCATGATAAGATAACTTCCTGTCACGATGATTATCAGTTGACTACACAAGAAAACCCGCTGATGTAGAAATGCTGTGGTGAACCACGTTGGTTTACCGAATGGGGAAGTGTTGCTGTTCAAGTGGTGTGAATTTTGTGTGAGACAACTTAAACAAAGTCACCCAGGTTGAGAGGATAACATGTTCAGTATTTGTTTCTGATATAATATCATAATAACTCCAATATGAACAACTCAATAGACTGGTAATGGTAAGATAAATGGATAATTTATATTGCTGGCAATATCTGGCACATTGATTCTAAGCCTGCAATTAACCTATATTTTCATTTTTGATTATTTTCCAGACTCAGTGTTTTATTTGAAATTGAAAACATACTTGACATACCAAAGATATTCAATCAGCTCTCATTGCTACAGCTTAATCAGTCAAATCCGATCGCTGTAATTAGAACTATTATTTTAATTTTGCGTTTGCCTCAGAGGAAAATATTTTTTTTTTCACATGCAAAGTCACAGTTGACTAGTGTGACACAGCTTCCTGTGCTGACACAATCCTAGAAGCATAAGTACAACTGAAGAAATACAGTCAAGAATGCAAACAGGTATTATACATGACAGACTCTATAGTTTGTACCTGTGGCTTACAAGATCATAGTAAAAGTTTTGACCATGAAGCGTGGAAGGAAGTACTAAGAGAAAATTCTACTTGCTCACGTCAGAGATTAAATCTTGTTTTGAAGAGTTTCCTGCTAGCCTAGAAAGTATCATTAACCAGTAACCTACATTGCATCAGAATCGGCTCAGACACCTGCACATTTACGTACACACAGAGAAAAATATAAAAACCGTACATGTAGCTTGTATTAACAGTTGAAGTGTTCCTACTTGATGTTAGCAATATGAATAGTGAACAGTGTTGCATATTAACGTTTTTGCTCTTTAGACCACTGCTCCGTTCTTATTTATTCACGACCAGGGGCCATGAAACAGATTTAATGACTCTTCCTCCTCCATTGTGGACCTGTGGAGACATGATACCCATTAATATTTCTGACAAATGTTGTACAGAACTTGCGGGGCCAGGAGCTAAAACTGGACGGAAAGGTCACGGGTGAATGTGAGTTCATTTGCCAACAGCCTTCCACTGGCGCCGGCTTAAAGTCTGAAAGTGTGTGTTTGCCTCCATCCTTCTGCAGAAGTGATGCCCACTGTTGAGCCTGTCCTGAAACAGTCTCCTGCAACCCCACCTTAGTTTGCTTAAGGCACTGAGGGATTGTTTGATCACAGCTTGGTTAATCCTGTTCAGACATATTATGCTGTGTCAGCTCAAAATGGTCTCAGATAGTGAACACAGCTGTTTGTCTTTGGAGCTTTTCTTTGGTATGATCACATTAAGAGCACGAGAAGCAGTGTACCTTTTTTGTCTGCCTAGAGATTCTCTCTATGATTAGATCTCATGCTGCTTCCTTCTTCTTTTTTGTGCTGGTGTGTGTGATTGGTTCACATACTGCTATCTGTCTGTGAAAGTGATTAAAGGCTGCTTGAAGGAGACAAGCTTTTCCTCATTCTGCTCCTCATTTTTGTGCTGTGCTGGGATACATTACAGTCCTGGTGGCTACGTGGCAGTGCTCCGCCGTGGCCACAGTCTCCCTGCCATACATGCAGTTATTTTGGCTCCTCTTTTAGTTCACGCACAGTTCAAATTGAGGCCCGGCATCCACTGTTGGCTGAATGGGTGGCCCGGCTGTTTTTGAATGAACAGTTTTAGCAGGCGAGGAGTTTCAGACCTGACCTTAACAGTCCAAAAGAGAGAGGTGAGAGTTAAGTTAATCACATGCCGTCATACTGGCTGACGCATGTAAATAAATAAGGCAGACCGTGCCCACTGGTTTTATTTATAACTCACTAGTTTAATTTGTTTCATGCTCTTGCCAAATGCCTTATGGTTGATATGAAAAACAACTCCAGTACATGATCAGTATGCACTTATTCTAACACACATTGTTGAGCAGATCAGATAATCTACATTATGTTTAAGAGGATTTTCCCCACATTTCTGCACGAACTGTCCTGTTTTCTTTGACTGAGCTGACTTTTAGCTTTGGCCGGGCGGGCGTGGAGTGCTACTGTCAGCATGAGAGCGGTTCAGCTGTCATCCAGCTCCAGTTCCTGGTCAACGAGGTTTGTTGTCATTTCCTCTTCCTTGTTTACTCTAAGTCTGTTCACTGTCTGTGCATCTGTCTGTCCATGTTCTTACTATCAGGTATCAGTAGTGCATATTCCATGTTTGTAGGCCACTTCTGTTCATTAATTGATTAAACAGTAATACTACTTTTTGTGACCCACATGCCCTCATTGTTGTGTGCTCATTATACAACTACATCAGACAGCCTGAGCCAAGCCACAAGGTGTTTTGTGCATTCTAATAACACCCTTGTTTCCACAGGGGGCGCTGGTGAGTGCCTTAGCTGATGACAGCATCCACCTGTGGAACCTGAGGCAAAAAATCCCAGCTATCCTGCATTCTCTCAAGTTCAACAGGGAGAGGTACAGTAACGTGTTCTTCTCTCTGTGTATCCGTTTGCACTGACACTGCACCTGTCACTGTGAGGTGTGAACAGAACTTGGGAACAGTCCTCACAGCTCGCCACATGCTTCTTGGTGTATAATTAGCAGTGTTGTTGCCATTAGGTCTCAAGGTAATTCATTAGTGTTCTCTTGTGTAAAAACCTTTCCTCTGTAACCAGACCGGCAAAGTCGTGAATTCAGTAGGTCAAAGTAAAATACCTGTGCCCTGTTGTCTCTGGGATTTTGATTGGCTGTAAATGTTTTTTACTCATCCATCCACCAACCATCATTTGTATGCCATTTTCTTTTCTGAAATCTAAAGAGTAAACATGTAAGCCCTCGCATAGTTATAGCGCCAGTAGTACCACATTAGTTTAGTAATAAATGGATCTGTGGTGTAGTGGTGGTTAAATAGTTGTTTTTTTTAGTTTGGTTTAGTTTAAAATTCAAAACTGTGGTTGGCATTTTTCTTTATATTAACAATTAATAAAATGTGCAAAGGTAGTGGTGTTTCTTGTAATGACAAACCCTCTTTACATTACATTATTACCCTATTCTGCTGTTCCCCTCAGCTCTACCGAGCCACTTCTAGCTCATTGTTTCCACAAATTCTGCCCCCTTATCAATCCCATTTCCAGATGCCGTAGGCAGCTGTTTCCAGCCAAAAACAGTGATATTATAATAATAATGTTGATTTATGCAATAAGTGCTTTACTAAAAGAAAACAATAAGAGAAAAGGTGGAAAAAGGAGAGTATATAGACTAAGAAAATACCAGTATAAACCTACTGTATGCTATCTGTCTGGTATCAAATGGCACACAAAGTAAGCCAATAGCTGACCCAGATATTTTTGTATGTGTTGGAAGAGAATAAAACAGCTAAAATTTTCCATAGCAACTTTGTGAGGTGATAATATGTCAGATGTTATGTGTTTCTTTCTTTGCCCCTATGTGGCCAACAAAATCAATTAATATCAACGAATGCAGCTTTAATTGGTTAAACAAATTTTTTTGTAATGTATGAAACAAGACAAGAACACATTTGTCATCCGAGCTTAGTCAAAACGTCACGTGAAATATCACCCGAGGTATCACATGCACGCGCTGTCTATTTGCCACTGTAAATATGGTGTCTGACTGAATGATTCTTCCTGCTAGTTAAGAAAAGACAGCAGTGTTTACTCTGCTATTCTTCCCCACTGATCTATATATAGCCTGCCTTCATTAGTATGACAAAGAGCAAGGCCTTTGTAATTAAATCTTAGTCACTCGCTACTCCTTCCAGTTGGAGCAGCATGATTAGGGACGAGGGTGACTCTGTGATGGGATTGAGTCATGAGATAATGAAATGCCTGGTTGTGATGGATCCTGATCTCCTCCCGCAGAATCACATACTGCCACCTGCCCTTCCAGAGCAAATGGCTTTACATCGGCACAGAAAGAGGAAACATCCACATTGTCAACGTGGAGTCCTTCACTCTCTCAGGCTACGTCATCATGTGGAACAAAGCCATCGAACTGTGAGTCTGTATTTCTCATTTACTTCCAGTCTATTTGCATATCTCCTTGGTGCAGTTGTGTGAGTTGACACTACACCAGGAAACTCTGAAATACAAAGGAATATGTCTTCAGTTAAAGTGTGTCCTGTAAGCTGAGAACACTGTAGCTTTGATCAGTGTGAGGGCGGTATGGAGGTGGTGATTGTGCCATGCCAGAACTTGCTGTTGAGACTTCTGGAGGTGTTCGCTGCCTGATTTAACGAAACATCTGTGATATGAAGTGCCCACTTCATAACCCCAGTAACTTATCCTGTGTCACCCACTCCCCCGTGTCAACACCCACTGTAAGGATCACAAGGAATTTCACATCACATCCTGTGCATAGGTGAATGCGGGGCTGCATTTCCTACAGGGTTCAGATATAACTTGCCAGGCGCCGCATGCAGATTAAAATTAGACTTTGGAGGATAAAATTAGTGTCACCCAATACACTGACTAGTTACTTTAACTGTCTTGGTTATAAAAGTATTGCAGTGTCTGATTCTGTGCATGAATAGGACTGAAAATTAATAGTGTGACAATTATTTTAAGGAAAAAGGAAACTTGTAGAAGTTGCACTTCTCTAGGTAATTCTTCTAGCACACCCACCAGTGAGCTTTAAAGAAGATAATTTCAGACAGTGACTGGCAGCTAAAATTGGAAGTAGAGTATAAAGCTGTGTGTGTGAGGCTGCTGGTGAAATCTGATAAATTGCTGTTTTAGATCTGGGAGTTGAAAGTGTCAGGACACCAAAGTATGCCATCAGCTACGATGAATGTCTCAGAAACAGACAGCGGAGATGGGGAATGGTTTTGGCTGTCTGACTGTGAAAATGATTAAAGAAAAGAGCTCTTGGCTGTAGTGTGAAATTTTAAAACATAATATTCAGTCATTTCTTTGTAGAGGAGTTGTCTGATCTCAGAGAGAGACGTCTTTTCATCACACTTTCTGCTTCATAGTTTGTTGTCTTTGCAAAGTTGTGAATTCACGTTCTAGGTCTCCTGCAGTGGACAGAAGCAGCATGTGGACTTCATGATCACATTTACTGTTGTAGCCCACTTAAACATAGCTTACACTCAATATTGTTTATGTAAAATGGTGTTTACCCTACTCTCTCAGTCGGTTAAACTCTGTGGGAGAAATTAATTTCTAATAATTACTTTTAAGACTGCGAAACATATTGTATACGTACATATATTATGGTGATTAAACCTAAAAACAGTTGTCTGTCATGTGATGGTGATTACTGACTGGAGTTCATATCCCAGTCCGTCCTTGCCTTTTATTCACTGCCGCATCTCTGACTGTATCGACTCATCAGCAGCAATGAGATCATTAGCTGCTGGAGCCAGACCACATTCAGAGGCAGCAACACTTTCTTTAGGCCAGACCTTCGCAAACTCCATGCCCCTTGCTCTGTTGCCACGGTGACGCTGTCTCCACACACTATAATCTCTCATAGACCCTCATGTGACCCTGCTCCCCCCCTCTCTCTCGCAACCAGAGATTCTGGCTTTTATTCTTTATTTTTTCTTTATTTCCTTTTTGGATGGCTTCCCTAATTGCCTCCCTGTCTTTGTCTCCCACTAAGAGCTATAGACAGTATGTTTTGGACAACATTTATCAAGTATACATCATCATCTACAGAGCACAAATATTCCTGAATTTACACACTCTTTCTGTGTCTTCTTGTTTCTCTTCTGTACCTAAAATTTAAACAGATCCACCAAGACACACCCAGGGCCTGTCGTGCACATCAGTGATAACCCCATGGATGAAGGAAAGGTAGGAAAGAACTGGTGGTTGACCACTACATAGCATGTGGAACAAAGATAAATGTATACACTAAAGCCTAAAACAATACTGTACCATATTTTTGTTATCTCCTGCTGTACTTTTCTTTTTGCTGCGAATAACTGCTGTAGCGCAGATGGCACAATGTCAATACAGCTTGTGCAGCTACAATTGAGAATGATAGCAGAACATTTCCAGCTAATTAAAATATCAATGGTTAACATCAGATTTTGGTGTCCAAATCAAAGACTCATTGTTTACAGAAACCTTTCACAGTGTTCCAGAGAAAAAATACTGGATATACTGATGGTTTTTTGAAGTAACAACAACATCAAGACAGTAGAATTTATTGCACCTGTTAAGTCTTCTCAGAGTCTTCACTGTATGGACGCCCTACTAGCTTATTTGACCATTTTAATGTCCGGACACCACTCTTTGAGTGCAACAGGTTAATGTTGCTTTTTTCCAACTTTATTTACTTGAACTTCTGCATTTGATATCACAAAATATTTATTAATCAATAATAGATTAAGAATGGGGACTATATCCTATCAGCTATCCAGTAAATAATAAGAGTGGTTTTACAGTGGTTTTAGATTCTTGTGTTGTTAAAGTATCAGGTAACAGTTTGACACCTCAAAGGAATGTATATTAAATGTATATTTGTTTGTTTGATTAATATAATTAATATTTGAATGTTTAATCTTTCAGTCAATAAAATCCCTTTTATTCTATAATTAGTACCAAATTACATAATTATTTTAGGAGAAAGTCCTAGGAAATGATTGAGAAATTAGGAGTATAATGAAGTGTTTCCATCCTTTGAACATCACAGAGTTATGTTAAAGTCGTATTACCGCCAGGCTGAGTTATGTTTGCAGAATGTGGTTTCACAGCAATCAGCTGAGCTCTGCTTTGCTTCTCTTGTTATTGCAGCTTCTGATTGGATTTGAGTGTGGGGTAGTGGTGTTGTGGGATTTGAAGTGCAAAAAAGCTGACTACCGCTACACTTACGATGAGGTAAGGCAATATTTATTTTCCATTCAGTCTACTAGTTAGTTCAGTTAGAGTTTTCTCACTGTTTTACAGTAACATGTTTGGCGCAATCTGTCACTTCCATCTCACGTGATTGAACAGTGGCTCTCAAATGTGTTCTTATAAAACCTGAAACAGCTGCTCATCGGGATCCGTTGAGACTTTATCTCAGGAGCTTCCATGCTGGGTGACTTTTGTTGTCGACTGAGTATTACATAATGAAACTATGTTTGTCACTCACGACTGGATTATATATCCAGTAAAGTAAAATAAAGCCACAATACAAAAGTTTGCTGATTTGAAATAATAGCGAGTCAGTCTGGTGATATTCTGTATTTCTCTGATTATCATCCCATGAATCAAATCTATGAAAAGGCCAAAACCAACAATGGACAGATCCTACAAACAAGCATTGCCTTTGTAGGCAAAGCCTGATATAGTTTATTCCTCTGTTCCATGGAGCTTAATTTTTGTCCAAAAAGTATTAAAACTCATGAGCCACACTGTTTCATTTAATGACATGTTCCTTTATTCTTTATTTTAAGCAGTACACTGTCCTGCTTGTTATAAACGTACTTGCTAGTCCACCAAATGTGTATAAATCTGCACCTGAAAATACCTGTTTGGCCTTTGCTAAAAACTACAGTGCCCAGCTGTTAGGGAATGATTCACCCAAAGACTTTAGTAGGAATGAATGTGCCACAGACAGTCTGGGGAAGGGAGAAAGTTTTAAGAGACTAATGTGCTGTTGGTTTTGTTCATGTCAATTGGATTTGTTGATGATAATAAAAACATAATCCAACTGTATCTTGTCAAATATGTTGCACACAGAGCTTCTACAAATCTTCTTATTTATTTTTACACATCTGTAAAATGTACTTTATTACACTGTAATGATGTGCTGCTGTGTGTCTTTCAGGCAATCCACTCAGTAGCCTGGCACCATGAGGGTAAACAGTTTGTCTGCAGCCACTCTGATGGCACCCTGACCACATGGAATGTAAGAGCTCCAGCCAAGCCCGCACAGATCATCACGCCACACGGTAGGAACTGTTGTATACACACAGATGTATTGTTTATATACACACACGCAGGCATATTGAACAGAAGCCAAGTTTTTAAGGCTTGAAAAGCGCAAATTGTAGCTCAAAGTCCCTCCAGTCTTAGAGGTGTGACTTGCACAAAAAACAACAGGGTGGTGGCAACATGTCCATGCGTGCACAGAAGCATTTGTAGACCATATGTGCTGTACCTCTGTAAATTAAATCAGTTTTTTGCCATTCGACCTCCACTAGGAAAGCAGCCTAAGGATGGAAAAAAGCCAGAACCATGCAAGCCTATCCTGAAGGTGGAATACAAAACAACAAGGGCTGGGTAAGTGTGATGGTAGCAGTTCCCACCCATCCTGTGTCTTAACCGACTCTGGTTTGAATCCATATCCTGTACTGAAAGTGGCCTTTCCTGTTATTCCATCACAACAGCATAGACCTAACAAGCCAGTCCTGTTACCGTACCCTACTGATGGAAAAAGGTGGAAAGCCCTCTAATTATTTCTATGTTCTCACAGGCTTCGTTACGTTGTGATCATTAGATGATGATGATTCTTTATCATGACAAATGATTTGTTGTTCCATTGAGGTCACATGTTAATTACGTTGTGATCACTAATCACTGTTAATGTAATTGTCATTATCTGAAGAGAACAAGCTTGTTATGTCAAGGTCACAAAGTAAAAAGACAAAAACTTTCCTATTAAAACATGACATAAAAAATTAACTATTTCACTGAAGCTGATCTAATTATCCCTTACATTTTTTTTTCTCAGGTATTAGAGGACAGGGATTAATATAGTTGTCATTATAATTAAAAAGTAGGCTCCTCCCACCATAGATGCTCTTGAAATGGGAGCAAAGTATCTCCAGAGAAAGTACAACAGTAAAATGTTGGTGTCTCTCTTCACCCATTTACCACTGGATGGATCTACAGCTATACAACAAGCTATAATGTACTGAATAAGCAATTCAAATGTTTGTGTGTGTGTGTGTGTGTGTTTTTCCTGGACTCAGGGACCCATTCATGGTCCTGTCTGGAGGTCTGTCTTACGATACAGTGGGGAGGAGAGCCTGTCTGACTGTAATGCATGGAAAGAGCACTGCTGTCCTGGAGATGGACTACCCCATTGTAGATTTCCTAACACTGTGTGAAACTCCATATCCAAATGGTGAGCTGCAACACTCTACTTTGGACAGGTTTTGTTCATTTGTCTCAGAATCTCTTTTAGCTCAATTAAATCATGTAATTATATTATTAATTTTGTGCTAATTTGTTGTTTTTTTTTTTTTTTTGGGGTTCCAGACTTTCAGGAGCCTTATGCTGTGGTGGTCCTTCTCGAGAAGGATTTAGTTGTAATAGACCTCGGACAGATTGGGTAATTATTCTGCTTTCTAAATATAGAGTGTTGTTGGTATGCATCGAAGAATATGAGTGTTGTAGATCAAGAACATTATCTTAATAGACAGTATATATTATAGATACTGCTAATTATTTAAACACGTTGATTATTTCAATCAGAAATGTGCAGTTCAAACCTTCCAGGCTTGAATGAGTGAACAGAAGAAAAAATACACAAAGTCATGATCTATCTTTGCAGTTGTCATAATGAATTTATAACCTGTAATAGGTATATTACGTTTATAGGACACGCAAGCTGTCACAGTCAGTTATGTTTGTTTTTGACCTACGCTTATTCTTTAAAGGTCCCATGAAAAATAAAATGTCTAACTTTGATTAATTACCAAAGGGATTTGATTTGCAGTGAAGCATTATGGTTTTTTTTCCTATTACATTACTATTTTATGGCAATTATATGGTAAAAAAAAATACATTTAAATTTTAAATCCTGGCCTTTTCCTCATCGAAATTTTTATTGCCGTTGCATCTTGCAATGTCACTGGGTATATTTAAAAATCTGACCCATTTAATTTGATTAATTAAATGAAACCCAGACAACATAAAAGATGAAGATGCAGTCCTGGATTTTGTTATTGCTCCCAATAATGCTTCCAGATTCCTCCCAACTCACTGCAGATGTTTTAAACCTCACAGTATCACTAGCAGCAGTAACACAGGTTGAAGTGTGCTGTAAATTTGGGTGTTAGAGTGCAGTGGCTGCGTGAAGTCACGACTCCAGACGTTTTTTTGTTGTAACATTAAGTATGTCAGTCAGAGTATTGAAAGGCATTCATTGGCAGCAAGCAAGTTGTCATTTGCATCTCAAGTTGATAGACAAGTGCAGATATTATGAAGGTTGTGATTAGTTTTCAAATATAACCTGTGGCACATTGTCTTGACAGGTACCCAATATTTGAGAATCCATATCCTCTGACTATCCATGAGTCACCAGTGACCTGCTGTGAGTACTTTGCTGACTGCCCTGCTGAACTTATTCCTGCACTTTACTCTGTCGGCAGTCGGCAAAAGAGACAAGGTTACAGCAAGAAGGTAAATTACTGCCCCAGTGTAATGTATGTTTAAAGTGAATTGGACATTGGAAGTGATCTTTTGAAACACACTGTATATATTCTATTATACTGGTAACACAACTGAAAGAAATCTGCTAAATTTAACATATTTTTTATCCTTTTCACAGGAATGGCCTATTAGTGGAGGAAACTGGGGCCAAGGCACTCAGAGTTACCCAGAGATCATAATCACTGGGTTAGTGACAAATTATTAATGATTGAATGAATCAATGTATTTTCATTCACTGACTTTCATTCACATACAAATGATGCATTGTCACAGTGAACAAATTGTCTCATATTCTACTATTGTTTTCTTTATTTCTCCCCATAATAGACATGCTGATGGGTCGATCAAATTTTGGGATGCTTCTGCTTGTGAGTAGTTTTATTTGTTTCATTCAGTTTATTTGTTGGGGTCTATGTATCCTTTGTGGATTTAGGTTTTTGCCATATTTAGATAAGAGCTTATTTCCATCAGAAATCATATTGCTGGTTACAGTTAAAAACATAATTATAATAAACACGGTTATGATACACTTGACAATAATGTTTGCATAGATAAAAGATTTAAAAGCCAGTGCAATATCCAGAGGATTACTCATCAGCTCAGATATAGTATGAAAATAAAACATTGTATTCCAGTCCTGATTTTCCTTTATTGCAAGGTGACAAATTCATGCTGTGGAGAATTATTAAATTGTGTAACATTTTGAATACACGACCCAATTATACTATATTGCACTGAAAATATTGATACATGTTGGATTTTCACTTTGCAGATATAATTTATGCATTCATATTTTGGCAGCAATTGAGAAGAGAGTTTCTATTTTGCCTTGAATTTCCTAAGTTGTATTTTATATTTTTAATCATTTTTAATGTTTGTTTCTTTAACTTTAGCATTGATTTTCTCTTAAATATAAATTGCTAGCATTAATTTTACAGACTTTTGACAATATTTATAAAGTTTTACTATTGCAATGGCCATAGTAAGCTTTGAAACAGTTTGCTATGGTTTAAAAGCATTTGTATACACAACAGTGTCATCTGCATAAGTAGATATGCCCACAACGTGACACTGAGAAAGTGCTACTTAATACTGCCTGGAGCTACTCAATACAATTGACTGGAACATACAACATCATATGCTGTTCTGTCCGGTCACCTGAGTACATTAACTGATGGCAGAATATCACTACATCTTTCTAACTTATTTTTTGCTCTTAAAGTAATGCTGCAAGTGCTGTACAAGCTAAAGACTGCCAAGGTGTTTGAGAGGGCTCGCAGTAAGGAGGAGAAGCCAAGTACAGAAATAGTAGAAGAGGACCCGTTTGCCATCCAGACCTTGTCCTGGTGTCCCGAGAGCAGGATGCTCTGTGTGGCTGGGGTGTCTGCCCACGTTATCGTCTATAGGTTCAGCAAACAAGAAATCACCACTGAAACTGTGCAGGTGGGTAAACGATAATTGTCCATGTCAGTGTGTTGTCAGAAACAACAAGCCTTTTTTTTTTTTAACACATAATATCTTGTATGTAGCTTTTGGAGGTGCGGATGCAGTGTGAGTTTAGCAATGGCGACTCCCCTGACCCAGGAGGGGAGCAGACCCCCACCCTGCCCACCCCGGGAGCTTCCTCCAGCCCTCAGGACAGCGAGCCTCCTACTCAACCCTCAACAGGCAGCAACTCCTGTGATGGACCCCGGGACAATATACCATGCCTGAAGTATGGACAATTACACGTTTTCTGTTTATTTTTAAAAAAAGGGTGAATTGTGCTCACATATTTAGGTCATTGTGAAGCAGGTTGTCACTGAACAGACCATAAACTGATGCCAAAAAATTTATTTTTTAAAGTAAGTGATGTAGTGATCTATTCATTCCTTCCAGTCAGCTGCTCAATCCTTCACAACATTTCCACATCAGTACACCAGGGCAAAATAATCCTCTTTATAAAGATATTAAAAATGATGAGAATGTTTTGACAGTAAAAGGGTGGAAGGGGGAATAACGATAATAAAAAATATGAGTATATTGTCAGTGTGGCTTACCCAAAGGGTGATTATTCATTCCAGTGTGCGTTGTAGCCTGCTGTCTCATCCTGCTGTGTGTTTGATGCAGGGTGCGGAGCTCCCCGCTGAAGCAGTCTCCGGGCTACCAGGTGGAGCTGGTGATCCAGCTGGTGTGGGTGAGCGGGGAGCCACCCCAGCCAATCAGCAGCCTGGCTATCAACTCCTCCTACGGCCTGTAAGTCTATACGGCTAGCATGTACACTTGATATTCTGACATGAGAGCACATCACTTTATGCCCACACGTGTCTCGAGAGTGGTGGTTATCCCTGTCCAGTGGCTGTATTTGTGCTAAATGTGAGCGCGTCAAGAAACTTTAATTGCATCCTGTCAGACAGAAGGCAGGAACCGTTATTTAGTGCAACTGTAAATAAAAGCCTGCCCATATCACAGCGAGAATTTGAGAGCAAAAAATAGCATCTGAATCCTAATTCAGCTGTGTCTCTCATCCCTTCTGTGTTTCAGTGTGGTGTTTGGAAACAGTAACGGTCTGGCTGTGGTGGACTACCTCCAGAAAACTTTGCTCCTCAACATGGGCACATCAGAGCTGTACAGCCCATCTGAGCCCTACCAGAGGCAGCCTCGCTCCCCACGCAAACAGCGGCAGCCCTCTGGAGGTGAGCTGCACCGCCAACATTGTTGACTGTTGGTCACTCCCCCCCCCCATAGCTACGTATCAGCCCTGACTAATATTATTAACCCTGAAATAAATTGTTTATATTTCTTACTTAACTCATATTTGTTATATTAGCAATCCTAACCATCAGCTGAGAGGCTCTGGTTGTTTAGAGGTGGGTTAGGCAGGGCTGACACTTGGCAGCAGCCGTGACTTCGCACCATGAGCACTGCCCCCTGCAGTAGCTGCTGTCCCTCAACAGGGGGCATCGCTGACAGATCCTCCATCTGTTCAGTTGGACAGACCAAAGACAGTGGAGCATGTGTGTTCATGATCTGTGCAGTCAGAGTGGATGCTTTATCAGTGATGCTGTAGCATTTCCTTTTGATTCTTTGCTGTGATAAAACAACACGTAGTTCATAGTTGTTTGTTTTTAGTCTTTCTGTTTCTGTCTTTTACAGTGTTTTTGTCTGCCTTATCATTCTGTCAGCCACTGGTTGTATTCCTTCTTTTCAGTCTCAGCGGTCTGGTGCTAGATTCAAGACTCTTCAATTTGGGTCCTCTGCCATGAAAAGCAATTTTTAATTTATGCGATCTGATCTATATATTACCAGCAGCAAGCCTCTGAGACTCTTATCTTTCTTTTCTTTTGCAGTTATGATGTTCATTCATTTTTCTGTTTCACTGTTTTTACTGTCGGTATCTCTCTTTGTGATTTGGTAAAGACATTCCAACTGTGACGTCTTGCATGTCCAGACTTTCTAACTTGTATACTGAGTCTATGAAAAAACTACGCTCATCTCACCTCAGTAAGTCATGTTGTGTCAGAATTTCTTCCCCCCCTACAGTATATTTCCTATCCTTTAAGCCTTCCCCTACTCTCATGAAGGTACACTCCGTGATTTTGATATAGCAGCCCCAAAGCCCCAAAGCTCACTATTGACTTTTTAAAAGTGAGTTGGGAGAACATTTTGAGACCTGAGGGCACTTTGACAAAATCAGGTAGTGTATCTTTAAACCCTGCCACCTATTTTATTAGACGAGCAATGTTGACACCTTGAGTCAACAGATTTGTACTAGATTTGTGAAGTGAATTTGTGAAGTGAATTGTATGGGTAGCTGTCCCTGCCTTTGTTTAAATAAGTGACCCTTTATTGTTTTCACCACATGTACTGTTGTAATTGGCAAAGTTTTAGTAAGACTTGCTGAGAGTAGTCCAAGAGTATGATTAATTCTGCCATGTTTAATTACAACCTTTGTGGCTCCCACAGCTGCCTGTGATACCAACGATGGGTCCAACACCTCAGAGGACCGCTGCAAATCACCTACTTCAGGTAAGCCTTCATACAAAAAAAAAACCCCAGATCCTTTTATGATTTTAAAATACGTCTTTTTCAAACGCCGCCATTTGTCATGTAGGATCTACCTCCCCTTGCAATTCAGATGATGAACGAAAACAGAAGTTCATACAGAAGGGTACTGTATTGTTAAAAGCTACACGTCCCCTTAAATTTAAGCATTTCAAAATGGCTGCAGTTACCTGATTTGTCTTTTTGAACCCTTATTTCTAGTGAAGTTCAAAAGCAGACGCTTTTCCAAGACGGTTGCCAATGACTTTGGTACTGTATCATCCAGATGTATTCTTTCTGATTACTCTCTTTCTCTCTGAATGACAGCGTTCTAACCACACTGTGCCTCAATCCTACGTCAATCTGTGCGTCTTGTGCCAATGAAAGAAAGAAGTGCATTCAAGAAATGTATTTTTACTAATCATGGTTTTGGGGGGTACATAGTTGATTTATGAAATTAATCAGGAGTCTTTATCAAATGCATGACAGGACATCTTTCGAATTTCATGCCTCAGATTTTCTATGCAGATTGTTGTCAAAATGCTGTTGGCTGTTGCTTCACAACACTGGATTGAAAATATTCCAAATTGGCAAATGTTACTTTCTCACTAATTCATAAGCATAGAAAATCTGCTTCATGCCTTATTCTTTACATACTAATGTCTAACCGTGTCACTTAAATGTTTAAGTGAATTATTTCTCTTTGATTGTAGACACTTGCTGTGTGTTTCTGATTCCAGGGTTTCAGCTCAGTGTTAACTATTTAGCTAGCCACTGATTTTTCCTCCTCATCCTACTCTCTTTGCATAACTGTGTTCACTGAATTGCAATTGTCTTGTTTATTGTCTTTCCCTTTTGCTTTGTTTGACATTACAGGCCCTTTGGTTGTCTGTCTGTGATGCTTCTCAGCATCATTTGTATTCTAAGGGTTTCTCTAAGGGTGGTTATTGACTGCAACAGGACACTTTTGGGGTTTTAGATTTTAGATTTGGCACCGTTTCTGGTAGCAAGCAACAAAGTGAAAAGCACCAACTAAAGTAAATTGAAATGTTTTTGGAATATTCCTTTTATGAAGCAGTGAGTCTTGCTGCATACAGGAAGAGTTGTCCCATTTCTAGCATAATGTACCGTATGTACTTTATGTATGTCCTCAACGGTTGTCCTTCAGTATCACCACTCTTAAGAATGACTCGAAATCAAAATTGTGTTCAATGATTGCACACTGATTTACACAGTAAAACAATGCCAAAGATTTCTGAAATGATAATTACAGAATCTTATTTTGTAAATTAATTTAACAAATGATCTTTGATATTTCAAAAACGTTTCCATTTTTAGCAATCATTCCTTCCTCATAAAATAGGAGTATTTGTTTCTGTTACAGCCAAGATGTCACGGAAAATTAGCTCATCTAGCGAGCAAAAGCCAGACCTGGGTAAGCCACAACTACTGATTTTAGCTTCTAAAAACCTTTACATTTTCTTACAGGTTTTTCTTCTGTCATTTGAACCTTCTGCTGCTTTGTGTTCACAGCTGTGAAATACTTCTGTGAGAGTACTGCTTATTGTCTAATAGCATGTTGCAATGTGAGACTGTTGTATTTGGATGTTTTACTGTAAGTTGAGACGAACTTTCTGTTTGTGATCAGAGAAGAGGTTCGAACGATTGCGCTCTCTCACATGTAAGAAGCGCTTTTGTAGTGTGAAGGAAGGCAAGGTGGAAGCCAGGATGCACCAGAAGGGGCCCGTCTGTAGAACTAAGTCAGCCCCTAACTCCTGTGAGTGGACCAGCCATGGTCTGACTTGGGCTGAAGTGTGATAACTGGTACTAACCCCCAATGCAGCTGGGGCTTCTATTCTGAATGGGTTGACACATGACACTAATCTTCTCACAATGATTGTTTAATTCCTTCTAAGGATGCTCCCCTGACTTGACTGCACTCAGTGTTAAAAATCTTGCTTTTCTTGTTTACAGTTTTTCCTTGTGAAGAACACACATGATGGGCGGTGTTGTTTAGCCTTCCCCTCTGTGTCACAGATCTTTTTGTGTTTCTGTTGTGATCCCTCATTAGCTTTTTAAAGAGTTTAAAAGCTTGTGTTTCAGCTGCCGTCAGCACAGTAATGAGGCATGAATAATTCTTGCTTCTTAAATACCAGTTATTCCTTGGGAGTCCCTGTAGTACTACAAGCATATCTTATGCAATTTTTTTCACATTGAGAATGTTGTTGTTAAATTTCATTGCAAAAAAAGTACATTGTGGGAACCATTTAAAGAAAATGTATCCCTAGATATTAACTGCAACAGCTTCTCAATGTCAAAAAGCTGTGGTCCACTAAACACATGGTTGCTTTAACATGTTAAATGAGTTTTGACTGAGTGGATTTTATGCCAATAACATCTCAAATCATCCTGTTTGTCCTCAATACATTTCTTAACCCTTTCATTTCACACAAACCATTCCTCATTCTGTCATTTTTGTGCTCACTCCTGTCCCACTGTCCAGATGCCAAGGATAATTCATTCATCCGCTCACGTAGTTCAAGTGTAAGCAGCATAGACAGAGAATCTCGAGAGGCCATCTCCTCCTTTCACTTTTGTGAGAGTTTCCCCAGGAAGATTGACAGCCTGGTCAGCCCCTGTCTGCTGGTGGGAACCACCCAGGGCACTGTGATGATGGTGGCCCTCAGCCTGCCACCCGGTGGGGACCAGAGGCTGCAGCAACCGGTCGGCATCTCCTCCTGCGGTAAGAAGCTGAACTGAATTTGATGTAATTCACCAGATGGGGAGATCTGCATGTGACTGGGGGAGACAGAAAAGTACATTAACTCACCAGTGACCCTGATTGACAAGCAGTCGGAATTAAAACATCAGTACTAGGACCTATCTCCTATACCAGTCTACAACAAAGCCACCACTTCAACCCCTTTTAAAGTCACACGTTCCTAACAGACATAGAAAGTGAGCTATGGGCAGCAGGGATTGCATGGCCAAGATATTAAACAGTATAATGTAGGTTAGGTAGTAACTATGCTTTGTCCTTAAACTTCAGAATGACTCTTTCTGACTTTCATAGTTGAAATGTCTTGGTGGTTTCTTGCGCTGTGAAGCGTAGTTAAAATTTATGAAGGAAGTGGTGGCGGAGACGGACAGAGGGAAATTGTGGTCACTTAAAATATGTGTGTAAGGAGTTTTGTTTCCAGAAAGATCAGATTTCAGTCCCAGAAATCTCTGCATCTAGTGGAGTTATTATTGAGTCACTCACTGACTATTTAAGTTACTTTTTAAGCAGAATTTAAAAGCGCAGTACAATATTAGTGAGTGCCACATGGTCACATGAAGGTCACATGGAGTCCACATGGGTACACGCTGTGGCTAATTCAGTGATGTTGCATTTCAATTAAAACAATATTTGCCACAAAGCAGCTCTTTATAATGTATATATATTTCTCTCTAGTAAAAGAGAGAGCACAGGACAGAGTTAGTGAAGGTGGGTTTTATTTCCCATCACAGTTATTATGCAATTGTTCCAGATGAAAAAATCCCAGTCAGTCTGCTGTCCTCTTGGTTGACTTTGAGGAATGTAGCGCTAAGTAAAAGTTAGCTTGATATTTTGTGGTCATTTAATGGCCGTCTCTAACCCCAATGAAAACAATACCTCTGTAATACTCATTCTCCAGGAACTCTGGTCAGTCTTAAAGGAGGCATTTTGACTATGGCCCTGTTGGACGCTACTGGAACTCTGCTGCCCCCTGCCTACGAGTCATGGTATGACCCAAATGCCTCAGACGAGGACAAGGAGAAGAACCGGAGGCGCAGACCGGCCTCCCCTCCCTCGTCACAAGAGGGTCAAGATTCCCAGTTCGCCGTGCTGTGTTCAGAGAAACAGGCCAAGGTTGTGGCCATGCCCTCCCAAACTCGCATCTACAAACACAACATCACAGAGACCTCCTTCGTGCTAAGGGCTGATGTTGTGCAGATGGCCGGAGCTAACTGTATTGCCTGTTTCTGTGCTAACGGGCACATCATGACTTTGAGGTACTGTCTCTGTTTGTATACTATTTGTATCTACTGATGAAATCACAATAATTACATTTGTATTCCACAATTCTTAAAGTTACCATGTGGTGTGAAATAGTGTCTCATCTTTGTGTTACCACAGTTTACCCAGTCTAAGGCCTCTGCTGGATGTGAACTACCTGCCGCTGACAGATATGCGCATAGCCAGAACGTTCTGCTTCTCTAACCTGGGTCAGGCCCTGTACCTCACCTCTGCCACTGAGATCCAGAGGATCACCTATAGCCAGGAGACCTGTGATAATCTGCAGGTCAGATACTCTTAATTTAGTGGATGAGTTATGAAAAATTTGAATTCATGTTTTAATTATTGGATCCAATAATTATAAGTGTGCAAAAAATACTTTCCATGTAGGCTGGGAGGACCAAACTTAAGTAGAGTATGTGGGTGTAGAGAACTTTTTGTACTTTCAGCACCGTGGACTGTAATGGCATTTTAACATAATGCACCATGCTCATAATGAATCTTTGGGCTTCCTGACACGACACCAATTATCCCTACACCAAGCATCCTGTGTGGGCAGGTAGAAATCTGGGATCTTTGTCTATTCAGATATAACATCAACACAAGCCACCGAGGTCACTAGTATTACATATGCATTTTTATGTACCGTATATATATTTTCATATACAAACATTTTTGTTTTTTTCATGAATGTGAAGATGCATAATTGTACACATGACATGGCATGGTGTAAAACGGTGTGATGCTTTATAGGTCAGAGGGAGTATAGATTTAAATAGACATGTGCTGATGTTTCTGTCATCCTCAGGAGATGCTCAGTGAGTTATTTACCCCTGTGGAGACACCAGAGGCTCCTAACAGAGGATTCTTCAAGGGTCTTTTTGGGGGAGGAGCTCAGTCTCTGGACAGGGAAGACCTCTGTGAGTACAGACTGGCCGTGTATCAAGTCACCTTAAAATTTTCCATATTTTCTTACATTTACATAATATATATATATATATATAATGTATCATTATGTTGACTTTTAATGTTACTGGCTGATCAAAAAGCTACCAGCCAGAGGTGTTTTGGGAATGCATCATTGTTGGAATTTAACACATTAAATTGATTTCTCCTTTTGTCTTCTGTAGTTGGCGAAACAGCTTCTGGTAAGGCCTCCCGTAGCCTGGCCCAGCACATCCCAGGCCCAGGGGGCATGGAGGGCATGAAGGGTGCAGCTTCTGGGGTTGTGGGAGACCTGGCCCGGGCCCGGATAGCTCTGGACGAGAGAGGACAGAAACTGGGAGAGCTGGATGAAAGAACGGCAGCCATGATGGCCAGCGCAGATTCCTTTTCCAAACATGCTCACGATGTACGCACTTGCCATTTCTTTGAGCATCTAAAACATTGTTTTCACGTTAACTATATGTATTTCTGACTCTCATTTTCCGTCTTTTCTCTCTTCAGATGATGCTGAAGTACAAAGATAAGAAGTGGTACCAGCTCTGATGGCAGCGTGTGGAGCATCGGACTCTGTTATCACGCAAACACCAGTGTCTCTTAGGAGCTGCAGGTCCCTCTTCTTCTCTATTTCTCTCCACGGGGGGTTCTGCTCAACAGACTCATGCTTTTATTCTCAGCACAATATCATACACTCTGCATTACCTCAGTCACCGGAGGACTGCCGCGGAGTAGACACTGGCCAACCCAACGTAATGAGAATGGAAAGAAATGGAAGAAGAGAAGCCCTTAGGAATCTCTCTTTCCATTTCACTGGAGAGCGATGATGTTCATTTAACATCAGTCTGCAGAACAGGAGAGAGGGGACCATTCATATCCATCAGTCATGCACTCATATATATCTCATATATATATCTACACACCCTGCTGTTTTGTTCTGGAAGAGAAAAGACAATTCTGCAAAACATGTACTTGTGGTGGCCTGATTGCAATTGTTCTCTTTTCCTTTCTCTACCCTTTATGGTGTCTGCCAAACACAGTGGACACAAATGAGGAGAAAAGTCTGATGACCCCTGGTCCTTCAAGTCTAATCAAGTCGATGAAGATTTCTATAGGAATGATTGAATCGATGAAGGACTCTTGTATGTTTGTTTTTCTGGTCTAAATTATTTGTTAGAGTTTGACCTCTGTCCTTTTGTTAGTCTGTTTTGTTTTGTCTGAAAGGGCCTTTCAAGCACTTACAACCGTAGAGAATAGACAGGGAGATGATGAATATATTGCCTCTCACCGAATAAGGGCTGGTAGTACGCTAGTTCATCACCGACCATTCCTTTTACAGCATTTCCAAGTTGTTTTAGGTGAGAAAGAGAAATGGCGTGTTTTCTGGGACTCACTTTGGTTTTATTTTAAATTTAGATTATTTATTGGAAATAGTATAATGGATAGGAAGTTAAAGTTTGAATGATGGGCATTCATTTTAATTTTTTTCCTTTGTCAATCAAATGCGTTAAAAAGTGCTGAAAATGTTTACCCCCCCCCCGATGAAGAGTTTACATTGATCAGAAAAATTAAGAGTTGATACACTGGAAAACCCCTAAAGTTCTCCTATTGTTCTAGCTTTCAAAGGGGCTGTAGCTAAGTCACGTATGAGAAGGATAATGTTTTTAAGGGCAAGACAAAGATTGTCCTCAATATGATTAGCATAAATGTATATTTTGGTTACAGTTTTGTTTTTTGTGATAAAGATTGTATCTATACATGATTATTCAGATTTCTTTCTTTTTTTTAGCATTCTGTCATAGCTGAAGTTGATTTCCGTCTCGTTTCTCAATGTGTAGGGAAAAAAGCATGTGTCTCTTACAGCACAATGGAAATGGTAATGCTGTCTTTGTATTCATAGCTGCCAGTAGAAATGACCAAGCACCACAGAGTGTTCCACACAGTGCCACTGGTCATCTCTCTCTGAACCATTCACTTCTCTTCTGCCTTTGCCTCATGATGCATATATGCTAACCTCTACCTATGTGTATGTCTGTGTGTTTGTGAACATACATATATTCAGGAATATGTGTATGGGCGCCAATATTTATAATACTACATAGATACAGTGTATTACAATAGGTCTTTTTGAGGTTTTTGTTTTTGCTTGACAGTGTTTTTCAATGTGATTAACTAGAATTCTATTGTAATTAGATTTCTTTTTCACGAGGTGCAAGGATATGCTGCTATTTGTGTCAATGTAGGAGCATTACCTGTTGGTCTTTTATTTTGAAAAAGAGAGACAAGACTTTGTCAGTCCAGATTGCTGCCAAATGTTTATGTAAATAACGGGACAGCTGGACACAAATCTGACAGTGCAGGTTCAGGCATCGTGACATACTGTACGCTTGCGGCTATGTTCTTTTCCGACACCAAAGAGTTGCTTAATTTCACAGAGTTGTCTTGATTTTTCCCAAAATGGTAAGAGTCAGTCTGAATACCTTGGACAGAACTCTTAAGTCAAGAAGTCTACTGTGTATAGGGGGGGTAGTAGATTGGCTTTAGCTTCTTCTTATGGGCATACCACCCTCTATACCCAAACTGCTGTACATGTGTTCAGAGGACAGGCAAAGTGAATTTGAAGAGTTTCATTCCAAAATGAGATATCCACCAAAGAAAATCATGGGAAAAAAACGACTCATGGAAAATGGTTGCAGGCATGAAGTAAAAACTGTTAGAAGTTATGATCCATTTTCTTAGATTTTGAAGTATTAAATCGTGTATGCTTAGGAGATGTTGAGCAATCAATTACACCAAAAATGTTTTATCCAAGATGGATATACAGCATTTTGGAATAAAACCCTTCATTTTTTTAAGCTGGCTGAATTTAATCTTCTCTACTGTATACTACTGAGATAAACCCATTTCAAAGAGCAGATATGTGGGTTTTGCACTATTTTTTGTACTTAAAATAATTTTGTTAGTATGATTTCTAGTGTGTTCATTTTTCTTGTCCCATTTTCTTATTTTTGAAAGGACCAAAACATGACAGAACCTATGCTTATCTATGTCATTTGCCAATTATGCTGATTGCTTCACTCTCAGATTTGTTTTCAATGTCAGGTTAATGATACTATGATATATTTATATATTTGAAAACAAATATATATATATATATACTTTTAATTTCAACAATCTATTAAAAAATAATACCTTTAATGTAATTTTTGGGATAGAATAATTCACATTAATGTCCAAAACAATGGTTGTGCATAATTACCCATCATCCAGACACGACAAACATTTTCTGGTTAAATATTGAACATGCTCATCACAGATTCAAGCTTTGCTACTGCAGGAGAATCGTCTCCTCTTGGTGGGCCGCTGAGTCTTTCTACAAAGTGTGGCCTCGACTTTAAAGTGCTTCAGTTTGCAACATATATGTCCTAAATGGTCTCTTATTGCACATTGAAGGATGCATGATATTAAGTGTTTACAAACTTGAAACAACCATGTATTATCCCTCTTAGAGATTGTCTCGTCTGGCATTTGTATTTACCACCTAGTTGAACAAAACTCAAGTTCTCATCGCACATGAGAAAGCGCGTCCCATTTTAATTTGATCATGCCAATTGTATAAGTGTGAGAGAATATATTTATTTTATTGGTACATCTGTTTATGTTACTGTTTTGCTTCATGAAAGCTCTTGCTTTCCCTGTGCTGTAGAAATGCATAGAAAGCGAAAGCTAGGGCACCGTGCAGGAGAGCTTAAGGGTTTCTCAGTCGCCATACTTCCACCCATCCATCTGTCTGTCTTCTGGGATTAATATCTGTGGAGTTGCAGTATTTTCTCATAGAAGGCAATTTTTGTACAGTTTTATTAAAATAAATTTCACATGGATGTCTGACTTAATCTGCTGCCACAAACAATTTAGACTGTAGATACCGTATATATATATATATATATATATATATATTATTGTGCAATGGAAAATAAATGTAAAACCAAGCATAACCTGTTTCGTCTTGTTTTTTTAGTTTCACGTTGTCCTGTTTGCTCATTTGCTCTTCATTTAAAAATGTATGCGTCACTGATAGAATACTCTAATGTCCCTACTAAGGTCGGAGGTCAGTGTCCGCTATAGATTAAAACCCCTTTATCTCCAACATTGCCTTGATCATCCTGATGGACACCTTGCTGCCTCCCCACATATTACCACTAATAATTGTGTACACACTTACAATTATGTATTACATTTTTATAGTTGAGAGACTATGCATCTGAGCAAAGTGGCTCAAATAATTTTTTGTTGTGACATTTTTTTATACATTTGTTCCCCTAATAATATATCACTTATGTAGTTGTGTTGTGAGGACTTAATGTTAAAATTGTCAGTTTAATAAGTTTAAATATGTATGTTTTTATAAGTATTTCCATTACTAATTAATTTTAATTTGTATTTTATGTGGCCAGAATAAATACATGTTTCATGTATTTTTCATTTTATTTTTTATCATTGGTTTCATTCTATTTTATGTAATTTCATCATCAGGATCACCTTATTACTCACAAGTCCTACATTTCCCAGAAGCCCCTGCAGGTGGCGCTGAACTCACGTCATCTAGCGGGGTAAAAAAAAACATAAAAACTACAGCAGTGAGTGAAACCGAGGCTGAGCATCATCCTCACTCTGACTCCACCGGCGGAGGGACGGCAAAGTTAAATACGGCGAGAGCAAAGTCAGCCACAACAAGTGCACTGTGAACAGGTAGAGGACATTCTGTATTTTTTTTTTGTATATTTTTTATAGTAATTACTTATATATATATAAATATATATCGCTGAGGCTTCACCGTCAACCTTTACATGTTTCTTTTCTGTTGCTCCGGATGAATGTTTGATGGACCTGAGCGTCTGTAGCGATGAATGAGACAAAGAGGAAGGATGCAGACGACTGTTTTATATTCCGGGTTTTCATCTTTAACAGAGGGTAACTAACTAAAAGCTTTTTTTTTTTTTAAAACACCAGTTAACTTCGCGATTCCGTCGACGACAGAAAAGTCCGTTTAACCGGTAACATGCTTTTAACGACTTAATAAGTTAAATTACTCTCTTGGACTCTTTTTCTTTTTGGCTTTAAAAACAGCCACAGCTCCTTCATGTAAGTGGGGAGTAACTTACCCCGCCAACAGGGCCAACAAGAGACTGTCTGCAGTGTGTTTGCTTAAGGGAACTTCAGCAGGGCAGATGTGTCAACCAGTGTTGGAGAGGAGTTAAAGGTGTCTCTAGCCTTCATCCACCCTGCTGTCTCCAAACATGTCCTCACTGTGTTGTCTGTTGCTCTGGCCTCCACTAATAGATGTGTCCAATGTGGAGAATGAGCCCCAGGACTGTGTGTGAGAGGGTGGGAGTTACATGGAGCTGCACAAAACCCTCAGCAGCAGTGTTAATGGATATGATGAAGATGTCCATTTAAGGTAGGCCCTCCTTGTGTGTGTACATATATACATCCTGGTTTTTTTTTTAAAGATGAGCCAAGGGCCAAAGCTCGTCCTCGAGTGGCTGTCGAAGCTCCATCTGGCCCAGTATGTGGAGTCATTCATTGACAACGGGTACGATGATCTGGAAGTTTGCAAACAGATCGGGGAGCCGGACCTCGATGCCATAGGCGTCCACATCGAGTACCACAGAGACAGGCTGCTCGAGGCGGTGCAGACACTGAAAGAGGAGGACAAAGGGAAAGCGCCGAGCTACTACTTCACCTTAGAGCCTCTGGAGTCTACTTGCAACCACTCTCCGCACTCGAGCAGAGACGATGACTTCAGGCCTTCGGGGTCACACTCGAGGAGCACAGGAATACACCAGGCCTCCTGTCCTGGAAACCATAACCCCAGAGAAACAGATTGTAATGACTTTGTGACTTATCCCAAACTGAAGCTCAAGGTGCTGATAAGGGATAAGCTTGCAAAAGATGGCATCAACCTGGGAGAAGCACCGTACACCTATAAGGTAATTCATTTCTCTTCCTTTTTTAATGCTGTGTTGATACTAAAGGCTGGCTCTTTAAGCGCTGTCTCAGGGAATTTAACACGCTTACTGTGTTATGGTTGTGATGAAGAGTGTGACAAATTTCTTTGATGGTGCTGACGTCCACTGATTCTTATTTATTGCTCCAAGGATGCTTTGGTTTCTCTGGCAAAGGTCCGCTGAGACGTCCGTGTAGTGCGTTGTTAAATTTCACTGCAGGATCAGCGGGCCGGGCAGCAGACCCGTAAGCAATTATGGGTTCTGATTGGCACGGTTTCTGCTGAGTGGGTGGGTCGTGAGTGGATCTTCGGATCTTAAAAATGGTAGTAAAAGTTGTTAAAAACATTTTTAATAGGTTTAATGTAGTCTACGCAGATCTGTAATACAAATAGAGCTTAGTTGTCATCCTTTTATGATATTCGCTGAATTCCAACAGTTGTTTTTAAGTGGGATTTACTTTTTGCTGTACAGATTTGGTTGGTTATTTCATACAGTTCACAGAATGCCATGACATTAGCAGGGAATGGGCACGAACTTGTTGCATTCCACTGTGGGTTCACAGGTTTTCTTAAAAGACAGTATGTTGCTGTGCCTTCATCCTCTACTGTTACCGTTTTACCACACAAGATAAATGATTTGTCTGCTTCCCTGTATTATAGTCTATGAGGCTACAGTTGATCGAATAATTAACAGTATTTCGGCCCTTTTAACTTCCTGGATAAATGGGTTGCCCAATGAGTTGCAAGTTTCATTGTATGTCAGAGTGTCCTCGAGCAAGACACTGAATCTCAGTTGCTCCTGATGGTTACCTGTGCATTGCAGTCAGTGAACCATTTACCATGCCATCAGTGTTTGGCCAGTTGTGCAGGAATGAGATAAAATACACAACAAAAAAAAGACAAAGAACAGCACATCGGGTAGATTATTTAAAGGTTAAATGTCTTCTTTTAGTCAATTTTAGGTTTAAAAACATGTTGCTATGGAGCTCGGCTGGTAACAGTAACAGCATCCATGGTAGATCAAAACATAAGCCATATACTTTGAACACATGACCAATGAACAAGAGTTAAAAATCAAGGTCAGAGAGACGATGGATCAGTCTTGACAGATGTTTACTCCACAGATGACAGCACGCTATTTTATTCCTGGGTATATTCTCTGTTCTGACAACTGTCCGGTCTGTGTTGACTGCAGAGACTGTTAGTTAATGTAATTGCAGAGGATTGTTATTCCACTTTGGCATCAACCAAATCCCTTCCTTCCTTAATACACTCAGCGAATGGTCTGAAGCCAGCCAGAGGAAAAACTGAGTGGCATTACTTTCACCAATCTGTCGCTGATACATGATTGATGGATTCTGGGTTTGATTATATCACAGAAAACTGATGTTTCCCATTAGACAAAACACGGTACACTGGTGTTAGATATCAGTTTCAGCTGTATTGTAACAGACTGTCAGAATAAATCCCTGATCAGCACCGCTGTCGGACAGGAGAGAACTTCCTCTTTTCATGCACGTTTATACTGTTCTTGGTTTTGTGTGTCCTCAAAGAGAATACTTAGTCTGCTCTACTTTACACAGCCCTTCGTATCCTGCAGTCTTATGTATCCATATGGAAAACGGTGCCGTGTTTGGTGTGTTCTTATTTATTATAATAACAACCATCTAATTGTAAAAGTTCATTTTATCCCTCTGCAGTGCCATTAGCTTTCAAATAGTTGCACTGTACCAACTGTTCTGTACGGTTCTGGCCAGTTTCACAGATGCACGCATATACTGTTCATGAAAGATTCAGAGGCTATAAACTACTAAGTGCAAAGGCACTCTGTGGTTCACATCCAACCTTTTTGTAGGTTACAGCCAGTACCAGCACAGTTAGATTCACCCAAAAGTTTGTTTATTTCTTTAGACATAAAAGCATCACCAGCGCCGTACTGGGGTTTAAGTTCATTCTCAGGGCAAAATATGTTACAGTAGTGAATGGGATAGTAGCTACGCTTTTTGCTTGTTTTTTTGCACTAACAAATCAGTTCTGTTTAACTTCTCCAGCCTTACACTGTGTGCTTCACACTGTGTCCTCCTGCCACATTTCTGTAGGAAATAGGCCGACCTTTTTGGCTAATCAAGCTTCTCAGTACATTATTAGGGACATGTGTGATCATTCCATTCATTTATGGTGTGAATATTGAGTACCATCTCATCAGTGAAGAGCTGATTTAAAAAAGAAATTGGGTGAGATTGTGGCTCTGTGTGATAGCAGCATTTTGGAGTAGTTTGGCCTTTCAGGTTCATCAGATTGAGTCCATTAAAATGGTTGCAGAATACAGGTATATAGGCCAGTGTGGCCCATTTTCTCACCCGGAATAGCATATGGCAGCTTCAGGCTAAGTCTGGCACTGCCAGCTGTACTTTGCTTAAATTTGTGCAGAACTGAGCCAAATATTTATATATGTTTGATATACTGACATTGTCTCAGATTCTAGTTATTGTAATATAATTAAATATAATTAAAATATAATGTAATACTTTTTCTGTTCTTAT